ACATAATTCTACCCGATATAAAGCTGGCTATCAGACTGAGAGCGACTGGAAACGTCTTCATGTTCCTTCCTCCAACCAAGTACTCATCTTCACCGGAAGATTTTTTCACAAAACCAAAATAAATTCCAATTGCGCCGCACAAGACCAACATAACAGAGAACACAGCGTAGTCCGATATACCGAAGTTTTGAAACGATTTGCTAATTTCCTGAACAGTAGGCATTTCGGGTGCCCCATTTGCTAGCCCTAAGTCATCCGAAGTACCTTCCGAAGTCATTTTGTTGTTGCAAAACGGAATCTCGCTCTTCTAATATAACACCACCAAAAAAATTCAACACGTTCTCTCAAAATCTCAAGAACAAAATGTGTGCGTCGTACAGACCAGGCGTTATTTTCATCTGGTGCTTAATGACACTCCTGTTAACGTCTCGGAAGTAGCAACTGATAATCACGCTATTGAATCTACATAATAAAAGTAAACAATCAGGACCAAGTATATTTTTTGCTATTAGACGTACCGTTTGTCAAAAACGGTGATAGAACGTATATTCACGAAGGAGACGCGTGTATCTCTTGCAGAAGCCGAGAGATGACTAACTTGAACAGAACATACGGATCACGATAGAATCCGAGAGCTTCGAGGGTCGCTCCGCGATTACACACATCACGACAGTGTCATTGTGCGACAATCTTCTAATTCAGCATTGCCAATAGACATAAAGTATGGAGTACGAAACGACCGAGCAACCCTACCGATGAACGTATCCTGCATTAATGAGTACCAATACTTATACATAAAATATGATATATACTTTTGACTATTTCATGTCACATGTATAATACTAAAGTTACTTTTAATGAGTACTAATACTCGTAACATTTCCTTTCAATTGATATTAATGACAGTAAAAATATCATTAAAAATATAATTAAAAAATATCACAAAAAAGTAAATAAGAATTTGCGCTGTAAACTAGAAGTAAATGCTTATCAAATTTTCTTGTATAAGTTTAATTAGATACTTTTCAAAATTATAAAAGATCTAAAAACAAACTGTTGAATATGCCATACCTAGTGTATCGTTCAAGGATTAAAATTCTAAAAATTTTATTTCATCAGTTTTCTCTACCACCGGAATAAAAAACATATACATTATCAAAAAAAACTTCTTTTGTTTGAATTACTGAAAAAATTCTGCAAAATTAATTTTTGCCTTAATCTCTTAATCATATTTTTTGACTTTGTGATTATCATCTCTTACATTACTTGTCTGACATGGGATACTTTTTGTGTATTAATATAAACCATTGAGGAAACAAAAGTGCAATATATTATTAAGTTCTTTCTATCTTACTTCTATGTGTTTTCTCATATATTCTTATGAAGTAGTTCCTTAAGTATTATAAAAACACAATATGTATACACACACACATATATATATATATATACACATACACACATCCGTGCGTAATAACTTTTACAACATGTACAACATACTCTATCAATAAGATATAATATATCACATATAAACATATACATATGTTTAAAAACTTTATATTGATATATAAAGCTTTTTTATTATATAATTAAATTAATATTTAACTTGAAATTTTTTTTTTATACAAATAGATACGCGAGTGAATTAAGATATATCGCACTTTTCTTTTATCAAATTACAAACCTTAGAAGTTTAACATATTACGCTACTTAAGTTTATTATCATGTTGAAGTCGCTTCTAATAATAATTTATCATTCTCATTGAGACCACGAGATACCATTTTCTCATCTGACTTTGCAACCTAATAATAACAAATAAAAACAAAGAATAATAGATTATAAATCAAAGTTTTTATACTAACTTTTGCAAATTATAAAGTATCAGTTAAAGAAAAAAAAGAACTGAATATAGAAAGATATAAAAACAATTTAATCAAAATACACATGCGTAATATAAAACCTTGATTTGATGAAGCTCTTCAGGTGAACCGTGTTTATTTGAGGTTTTTAAGAATCTTCGTACGAAAGGTGCCACAAGCATCGGATCTAATTTTTCAATATCTTCGGAAGTGATAAGAGTTATGAGAAGTCCAACACTCATAGTCACAAAAGCACCAGTAATGGTATACCAAAAATAACTAAGACGATATAATGCCCAAGATTCCCTATTATAAAGATTATGTTAATTTATTACACACCCTCATAAATGCATATCGTAAATATGAAAAATACAATAAATTATCAACTATCAGACATTTGCACACAATATTTTTAAACTTACTCTCCACTCGCGTCGTCTGCTACTGGCGGCACAGATAACAATAAATTTTCTATCTGTGGAAATGAGTAGGTGCAACCCTCTGTAGTAACAGGCTTTGCCGCAAATCTAAAAAAAAAAGTTGAAGAAATATTAGGATATATATATTTTTCAATAATAGCAACATTAAAGCGCATACTATTATAAGTGGGAATGGCTATCGGATGAGTTCAGTAAACTATGGTCGCGTTTACTTAGAAACTCAACTTAACTTAAAATCAATAATTATATATTCCCACTTACAAGAATACATGATTTTAACACTAACGTAATTTTTCCACTGGCAATAGCTGCTTCAGCGGAAAGGATAAGCCAACCCATGAAACTCAAACCTGCAAGTCCTCCGCCTAGAGCGCCCTGATCAAATTAAACAGAATAAAATTTACTTTCAACAACGTTGAAGCGTAGAATTACGTAAAATTTCTTTTGCGTTAAATTGAGATAAGCGCAACATCGATACCTTGGCGTTAATCCAAGGTAACAGTATCCCCATGCAAAAGATACCAAGTGACGGTCCAGTCGTAATGGCGCCTAAGCTTGTGGACAACTAATATTGAAACAAAGAAAGAAAAGTAACTGGCACTTTTGTTGTTTTTGTTATTAAGAAGCTCTTCCTAGCTCTAAGTACCTATATACCTGTAGCACGTGTGTGCCTGCCTGTTCGACGACGAAGACAAGCGCAACGCAAATCGCCCCTAAGATGACGACCGTGAGCTTCATAAAGATATCAGTGGATTTTTGTGTAAAGGGAGTCTTGATAAAAGGTTTGACAAAGTCCTCCAACACCACAGCTGCCATAGAGTTTAAACCGGTCGACAATGAACTGGAAGAATTACATGAAAAATTGAAAATATTTTTAAAATATTTACATTATATATAAAAATACTTAGTGAACACACACCTTAGCGCGGCGCTGAACACGCCAGCTACGAAGAGACCAGGTAGTCCTGGAAATGCTCCTAGCACGTTCATAACTAANAACGGCAGCAATTGATCCTTAGCAAGTGCCAACTGTGTAAATACATATCATGCTAAAGCAAACTTTTAATGTTTTCTATTTTTAATATCAGACATCTAAGATNAAATAACCGTTACCTTAGTCGTGAGTGGATCGCATTCATGATACCAAGCGTAAATTACAAGACCGGAATATCCGCATATAAGAACCAGAAGGGTAGTACCGAATATAAAACACCAAAGTGCCCTAAGAATAAACTCATAATTCATCGTCAAAACCAAATTATACAAGAACAAAATATATTTAATTTATTTTTTTGAGTTTATTTATTTTACATGAATACCTCCTGGCTAATTTCAAACTGGGAAGCGACAAGTATCGTTGAATCATATTTTGATTGATGCAAGAGACTTGCAACCAGTGCATAAAACCGCCTATCGTGAGCTCCCAAATTGTAAGTCTTGTAAACGGACTCCAATCTGTCCTGTTGGAAAAAAATTAATGTGTTCCAAAATACAACGATTTTTAAATATAACAACAAATGCAATGCTCATGCGGAAGTAATGCTTTGTACACGGACTTAGGAAATTCGATTCTTCCGGATTCTAGATTTCTTCGTATCACCACAGACCATCCACCGACGTCAATCGTGCCTTTAATTACAATTAGTAACATGGAGCCGTACATGATAAAAATCTGAATCGAATCCGTCCATACTACTGCTTTAAGACCGCCCTAAATACATTAAATAATAATATTTATATAACATTATATATTCTTTTTATTCTGGTAAAAATTTATATTCTCTAAAGGAAAAGCTTTCTTTATTTTTTAATGAATTGATTTTTTCTTTAATATACTTTATTGCATTGCAGAGGAATGGTTTTTGCAAATTTGTTACTGAAAAACAAGATGTGTAAATGCAACTAAAAGTTTACAATTTTTGTCTTAATTCAAATATATGTATTTACATTTAGATAGCATTGCGTTTCATATATTTTTTCTTTTAGTAGCTTACCACACAGGTATAGAATATGCAAACCATACAGACAAACGGTGTGACTATATGTACATTCACTCCAGTAACTGAAAATAAAATTATCTAAAGTAATACACGTTTTACATACGTATATGTTTTTTCAAAAAACTAACTTAAAACATACATAAAGAAATATTACAAAACATCGAATGTTGTATCAATCAAAGATATTTGAAATAAAAATAATTACAGACATATATTGAGTTTAGTGAGCCGATTTCTGACACTTGTGTGTTTTTCATTTTTGTACTACAAATAGATTGTTTGTGTATTAAAAAATATACCTTGATTAAAAGCCAATGCGGGTACGTAGATGACGATCGGCAGCCAAGTCATCTGAAAGAATAATGCGTTCAACTCGTATATGAGCTCGTGTAGATAGCGAAAAAAATGTTTTTAAAATTCACGATTCTCTCTCGAGATTTACTCACAATGCCAATCGCGAAAAGAAGCGAACCCAGCAATCTGAGCTTTTTATCGAAACGCTTTTCAAGATATTCGTAGGTACTGGTGAGCTTGAGATCGTGGAAGACCGGCAAAAACATGATAGACATGATAAAACCAACAATAATGATCGCAGGAATGATAAAAAGATAGCTCGTGCCGTACACGTAAACCTCCGTAGGTGTGCCAAGTAACGAGATACCTGATGTTGAAATTCAATTAAATATACGAATGAAATATCAATCACATTATTATTATAAAAAAGAGAAAAAGAGAAAGTATAATAATAAAATATACAAGAATTATGCAATATCATACAATAAAAATAAAATATCGTAATTGTACAGAAATATTATCTATGAAACATAATTCTACCCGATATAAAGCTGGCTATCAGACTGAGAGCGACTGGAAANGTCTTCATGTTCCTTCCTCCAACCAAGTACTCATCTTCACCGAAAGATTTTTTCACAAAACCGAAATAAACTCCAACCGCCCCGCACAAGACCAACATAACAGAGAATACAGCGTAGTCCGATGCACCGAAGTTTTGAAACGACTTGCTAATTTCCTGAACGGTAGGCATTTCCGGTACCCAGTTCGCTAAGCCTAAGTCGTCCGAAGTACCTTCCGAAGTCATCTTGTTGTTGCAAAACGGAATCTCGCTGTTTTAATATAACACACCTCCAAAAAGATTTAACGCGTTCTCTTAAAATCTCAAGAACGAAATGTGTGCGTCGTCTAGACCAGGCGTTATTTTCATCTAATGCTTAATGACAGTTCTGTTAACGTCTCGGAAGTAGCAACTGATAGTCACGCTATTGAATCTACATAATAAAAGTAAACGACGTGAAAATTACAGGAAATATTTGTATCAAGTAAGTTAAAATTTTATTCACATCCAGACATACATATAGATATAAAATAAAAACTGAAAAAAATTGATATATTCAATCATCTTTTTTTCTGAAAAATAAGTTTTAGTTACATTTATTGCAATTGTAAAGTATCTCGTGAAAAAGTCTTACCGTTTGTTTCTGCTTCGGTAATTCTTGTGCCTATTTAAATATTTACTGGAAGCGAGGAACAAATAATCACTTATTTAAACGATGAACTATCGTACAAATTACGACATATAGAAAGAGAGTTTATATAGTAATTGAGAAAATGAATAAATGAAAAAATGTTCCACAGAGTGAAGTGCAAACAATTCGGTGATTTATCGGCTTAAGTACACAAATACGTTTGTATACAAATATACGTCTGTTTGTATACAAATTGAAGAGTTATGGACCAAGTTTATTTTTTGCAATCGATTTATGTATAGGTACCTTTAGTCAAAAACTATAGAATGCACACAAAGGAGACGCGTGTCTGTCGCGGAAGCCGAGAGACGACTACCTTGAACAGAACATGCGGATCACGGTAGGATCCGAGGAGAGCTTCGAGTGTCGCGCCGCGATTACACACATCACGATAGTGTCATTGTGCGACAATCTTCTAATTAAGCTCTGACAATGGGCGTAAAGTATGAAGAGCGAAACGACCGAGCGACCGACCGACGAACGTATCCTGCAACAAGAATCGCAAGTGGATAATACGACCTAATTTAGTAGTGGCCACACGGATATGTGTTTGGTTAAATTGAAGGCCGCGATTCTAGCACGAGTCTTCCTGCACAAAATTTTATTAAACGATCGCGGTTTCCGATACAAAAAAGTTAAAAAAAATTTTGCATACTTTCTCGATATAAATTATATTTTATAACACTGGAAAGTAATGCTTATATAAATTTGTTTTTAAATTTTTTGTAAGTGATTATAAAAAAAGTGATTATAAACGAATTGTGGAAACAAAAATATATTGGCTGTGGTATTTCTCATTTTATTTTATATTTTATAATTTATTATTTTATATGTATTTCATTTTATTTTATATATCTCTTTTATTATATAAAAGAGATGAGAAAAAAAAATAATAAATGTATTTATGATCTATTTATTCAGAATGTGTATAACAAGGAGTAAAAGAGTAACGCTTGAATCATATTTCCCTCCTTTGAATTTAATGAACAAATAAAGTACGTGCGAATGTTTAGAAATATACACTTTAAACATACATCGCGACAAGTAAATATGACAACGTTAATTTTCACCCCTCATAGAAGTGCGGCAATTCATTGCCCAGTATGACGTTTCTCTCGATTCCTTTCTCTGTGATCACGCCGGTTCGTATAACGCCACCGCTGCTACCGTCACGTGCCATAGCTAATGCAAGTGCTGAAAGAAATACAAATGTCAAATATTTATTGTAGAGCTCAACTTCTCTTGATAACAACTGTCTCGAATGCTTACTGTTTTGTACCAACTTGAGAGACTCGTCCTTCGTCATATTTGGTTTGTATTGTGCATCGACATAGCCGTACACATATGTCGAGCCAGATCCACCGATTGAAATTGATTGTCTAACACACATACCACCTAACGGAATGCTGTAGACCTGACCACCTTTTTTTTTATCCCATCCAGCCACCAAAATACCAGCTGTCAGAGAATCTCTATAATTGTAGCATATTTCACGAAACACATTGGCAGCTGTTTCCACCAAAGGTTGATCTCCAAGTTCCATCCTGGAAATTAATATAATGTTATTCTCAAACATATACAAATATAATAAATTCATCGAATAAGCCTTGCTATGTATCTTACTGATGTAATCCCAAATGATAAGCTACAATATCTGCAACTGCCTGGGTATCTGCTGCCGAACCAGAACGACAACAATAAATATTATCGGTTACTCTTGTCAGTTTGTCCGCAAAACGATTGGAAACATAAGCTCTGAAAGAATTACATTAATAAAAAACAACTGCGTTATTACATAAACATGGATTTACTCCAAAAAAAAAAAAATTCAATTTTACCCTGTTGTTCCTCGCGAATCAGCACCTATCACGACGCCACCATCAAATTCACATGCCATGATTGACGTCTGCAAATAAATCATAAAATATTTTTTACCTTGACAGAAAGAGAACTCATTTGTGATCTTAATAAATCAAGATAAGAAAACATGTGATATGATCTTTTTCCTCTTTAAAGTTCTTAGAATAGAAATCTTACATGTGACGAAACATGCAATTGCAAATATTACCAACAAATTTTATCTTAGTTAAACGAACTGTGTTAAATTTGCTATGTTGCTGATACAAAGTATTATAAGCTATCTATTCTAATTCTATTCTAATTCTATTGTAAGAGAAAAATTTGTGTTCTCTTACATTTCTAAAATAATATACATATCTTCATTATTTCATAAAGTGTATAAATATTTGAATTTCCATTTTATAGAAATATTTTAGTTTCTCTAAAATGCAAACTCAACTTTGCACTGTCACTATAACCTAAAAATGAGAATCATCGTTTTTATTTGCAATAACATACCCCTGTGCTCTGCTCCGAATTAAGCCAATCTGGTATCATATATTCTAAACCATTAGCAGCGTGAGGTTGAACCATAGACACAAAATCCATGATTTTTAATAAATTTTTATCAAGTGTCTACCTGTAAAAATTGAATTTCACTTAATTCTGCCCAATCCACAACTACAACCGCAAAACTTTCACTCTGACTTTAGTCAACTTTCCTCAATATAGATAGCGCTAAAAAACCAATTTAATCATGGTGTAAAAAAGCAAGATGTATTTCCATGGATGCGCAGTAGCAACCAATCAGAGAGAATTTAGTTGTTTAAAATTTCGATATACTGCCAATTTCTTCATATCTATCTCCCGATAGCTATTCTCTGGATAAAGATATACAAAAAGATGTACTTCATCTTTTAGATAAAGTTATCGAGAACTTATCTACAAGAGAAAAAATTAAGCTATAACAGAAAGAAGAATGAGAGCGGCCAGGCCCGTAAACAAATAAGTATCCGCTTTTCTGCCCTGTAAGCCAGCGCGATGTCCACGGATGGTGCACATTGGCAACTACGTAGCCATGTCTACAAACGACTTGTCGGTACATAAGTTACGTTCACACGTGGACATGGTTCTATTCCGTGCAATGTCCACAGCAGAGAGAAGCCTGAGAGCGGCCTGGAACACAGCCAGGGCTGTGTTCAGTTAAGCAAGATGGAACGAACTAATGGAGGAAATGCAGGAAATACAGGAATTGGAACTAATGAATTCCTGTATTTCCTGCATTTCCTACATTAGTTCGTTCCATCTTGCTTAACTGAACACAGGGCAGAGGGTCCAGTACTATAGCAATGAATATCGGAACGAACGTAATCTCTGATGACGTCTCAGTTATGACGTCATAAATACGCAACGCAACACCTTGCGTTTTGCTATGTTCTCTCTCAGTATTGAAAATCTATATGTTAAGTGACACATATTATAAATTTACAGTACTGGCAGTGAATTTCGGAACGTACCTCTTGTTTTCTTTTACATGTTACCAGAAACGTCATAAACATGGATGACACAGTGAAACAGCCAGAGAAAACCTGTACCTTTTTATTCAAAAAACGTAAAATTCGTAGTACGAGACAGCGAAAAGAAGCAAGTGGAAGTAATGGTGAGTCATTGGAAGTATTAATTCAAATTTTGCTTATAAATACCGTATGTACAATTTAATTTAATTTTCATCTATTTAGTTTTTCTCATACTGAGTAATTGTTCACTTTAATTACTTCAGCAAATTCTGATAAATTTGTTTATTTGACGCGTTTTTGCGCAAAACAAAAGTATTTGGTAAAAAAGCTTGCGTCTGCTTCGCGAAACAAATTTATTAAACGTTAAACTGCCGCGTGTTTAGGTTAGAACATCTGTAAACTCAATTTGAAAGAGATCAGCGCAAAACATTTCTGCATTGATTAAATGGATTCGAATTCAGCTTTCAGATTCGCAGCTCCAAGAACGAGGCCATGAGACCGTCGGTTTTTAATTTTACTTATTTTATTTATTTATTTTTAATCATACAATTTGTAGGTTATAAGTGGAAATAAACACATTGTCGTAATAAACAAATTATAGATCAATTTTTGTTTTATATTTTCTAGATAGCAGCGAAGATGAGACAACAGTGGTCAGAAAGCAGAAGAAGCGAGACAACCGCAATCCTATGATACAAAGCGTTAGTATTCTATAATAAGTGATGAGAAATTTAAATTATATGATTGCACTGAGAAGTAGTTAAATTGTAAGTAAATTTAAATCAAACACATGTGCACAATTATACATGTAGAAATGTTTAATCTTTTTTTTTTCTAGACAAGTACAAAGGAATATCAAGAAAAGACAAATCACAGTGATGACAGTAGTGAAGAGGATAGTGTAACTGTATCATATAAAAGTAACAGAACAGCTCTTCCAGTTGGCCCGAGTGATCAAGGAGCAACAGCTGTTCTAGAGACAGAAACAGAGAAAGATAGAGATGCACAAGCATTATTTGAGAAAGCACAGAAAATAAACGAAGTATGTAATTTAAACTAAAGCCAAAATATGCTAGTTGAATTTAAACTTGATATATCTTCATACTAAATATTGGTGATAAGAAGTCAATATATATTTTTATTATTGTAGGAACTAGAAGGAAAGGAAGATGATAAAATTTATAGAGGCTTGAATAATTATGCACAATATTACAAGAAAAAAGATACAGCTGCAGGAAATGCATCTAGTGGAATGGTTCGTAAAGGACCAATCAGAGCACCGTCAAATCTTAGGGCAACAGTGAGATGGGACTATCAACCTGATATATGCAAAGATTACAAAGAAACAGGCTTCTGTGGTTTTGGAGGTATGCCTTATAACTTAATTAGTATCTTCTCTCCCACACAAGTCAATATTTTTATAAATTAAACTTTTTATTAATATTTCCTAATAAAAACATTTCTTGCAGATAGCTGTAAATTTCTTCATGATCGGTCGGATTATAAATTAGGATGGCAGTTAGAAAGAGAAGCTGCTACTGGCGAATATGATAACAGTGGTGACGAAGACGATAAAAAATACGAAATTGCTAGCGACGAGGAAGATTTGCCATTTAAATGTTTTATATGTAGAAACAGTTTTACAGATCCCGTTGTTACCAAGTATGTTTATTGAAATATTTTAAAAAGTTTTTCAAGTATTTAAAATGGCTTTTCTTTCACACAAGGACTCTTCTGTTTGTGTTTCCAGATGTAAGCATTATTTTTGCGAAAAATGTGCTCTGGAACAGTACAAAAAAAGCACACGATGTTACGTCTGCAATACTCAGACTAACGGCACTTTCAGCGTTGCAAGAGAACTTATTGCACGAACAAAAATGGAAGAAAAGAAGAGACCAACAACGCCAAGCGAGAGCTCAAGTGAAGATTGACAAGATTAAAATAATGATACGTATATTTCCACAAAAGTTTAGAAACTTGTATAAACTACTATATGTAATTTTATACGAAATAATTGTGTAATATAGAATAAAAATATTTAGTTAACTTACTTAAGATTTTAATAAAAAAAAAACATTAAATTTTAAAAATATTAATGCACTTTGTTGAAGTGCAAAATCTAAATTATTCTTTGGAACATATATCTGTGACTGTCGTGTTCTTTGTGAAAGCCATAAGCACATTATTTTCACAAACTTGCAAAGGGAGATTTCGAAGTGATAACACACACTGTATGCACGGAACATGTTAAGAAAATAAAATTACTGTGCACAAAATTAAACAACTCAATTATGTTGCAAAAAAATATTTATAATGAAATGATATTGCACAATATACAAATTACTTTCGAAGGAGAGAAGTATATAATCAAGCAGCACACACACATATATTACAGCAAAAGTAATATATTGATGAATAATTTTATTTTTCTTCGCAACCTTATATTACAAAACATACTTTTTTAGACACATTCAAAATATGCTCTATTTACATCGGGTCATCGCCTAGTTTTGTGCTAGAGATTTTTGTTTTATAATTTTTACAGGAATATAATATTAATAACTATATTTTGCATAGGCTTTCGTATAATATATATGATTATGGCAGTACATTTACATTAAAGTCTATAATCGTTTTGTTTTTTTCTTTTTTTTTTTTTTTTGTTAAATTTCTTGCGTATAACGTTTTCTCGTATATGAAAATCTACATGCTTATGTACTATATGTGCACAAGGCGAGTACGAAAGAAAAAAAATATTCATGTATATTAAGCATTTGTTTTTTTTTCTTTAATATACCTCTGGGCCTCATGCCGGCTGCGCATACATATACACGTGTATGCTTGAGATCTAGAAAATTGGTAAAAATATCCGAAAATCAAAACAAAATTTGCTTTTGTCCATTCGTTCGTCAAAGCGTTTAAGCTCCTCGGACTTTTCGTGGATTTTTGTTTTTTGTTTTTTGTTTTTTTCATTCTGCGATATGTAAGAATATGTATGAATATGTAAGAATATGCAAGAATACAGTGAAATATATTTCACAAATCACGAAAAGCTGATAGAAGCGCGCTAAAAACTCGATTGGACCCGATTTTTTACGTTGTCCGTTCCCAAATAAATCGGTTGTGAATAATCAACCCCTACCTTCTCTTCTTCTCTTTCCACAAAGTGGAAAATTCTACGTACAACTAAATGTTACAAATGTCCTAGTATTGTCTAAGGGTGCTTTCATCATTCTCTGCTACTTCTCACACTCAGTCTATATCGCAAGTACTTGCGATATTTATATATATATATAATATATAATTATATATATATACACACACACATATATGTATAAATATATATAAATATATATATGTAATATATTTATATATATATATATATATACACACACACACATATATATATATGTATAAGTTTTATGTATATCTTCTCTCTTGCAATATATTATATATGTAGTATATTTATATCTTCTCTATATACATACCACATATATAAAATCTTGCAAAAGAATTATATATTATATTTATACTATACACAGTCGGTCACACGAAAGTCTACATATACTAATAAATTTGTAATATTACACAGAAATTACGACAGCTTCGAATCTTTTAGGAATTACGTACCATTTATTAAATTTACTTACAAAAAAATTATATCAATAAACACAAAATAATATTACAAAAACTGTACTACATATAAATAATTATCAATAAACACGAAATAATATTACAAAAATTTACTACATATAGATATCACAGGAATATTAACAATGTTTATATTATTGTTTTAATATTTTGTTAATTTTCTTTTTTAGCATCAATGACGGCATGTGGAGCCTATTTCACAGAAAAATGAAAGATATTTACCTATTTTCAAATTTTTTTTGTAAATTGTAAAGCAAATTCTTTTATATGGTTTCCGGGTCAATCATTTATATCATATCAATGTTTCGTGAACATTTTACGTCACTTCATTAAACACAAACGCGGCTCCAACTCGAAATATGTCGTCGTGTACACAAATTTTTGCTTTTGTGGAAGCATCAAATGTTAGATTTTAAAGAAATTGTACGTCTATATATATATATGTAAACATAAACAATCCTATAATACTATGTATTCTTAAATTATTTTAATTTGTTATTAGATGTAGACGTAGACTTTTGTGACGGACTATATATCCTTGGCGCACGAGACGCGAGTTATTGATTTTTTAATCTTTATACTTTAACGTCAAGCACTTATATACATTTTATATTTTTTTCTTCGCATTTCTTGCATTTGCACCACTTCTATTCGCTCAATATTGATTACAAAATAGAAGAAAAAGAGAACACTGGAATCTAACACAACAAACAATTTGTAGATTTCATTCTAACGCGTCTATTCAAATTGTTACACATAATCGTCATCGATTGCAACGTATAAAACACAATTCAATTTAACTCTCTTTTTCTTCGAAAGAAATTTACAAAATTCTTATATTTCTACTTTTCATCTTTCACGATCTTAGAGAGAGAAAAAAAAAAAAAAAAAACTCAAGTGTCGCACTCTTTGTGTCTATTGAAAGATAATACATGTTTCAGAACTTTAATCATGAAACACGTATCAAGAGGTACTGTTCCGATGCTTTTTGCTCTTCGATTTACCAAGTTCGAACTCATCTTCGCTTCTGCGACGTCTTTCCTTTAGCTGCTTCTCCATCGCCAGCATCGTTATCATTCGTTTGTGGGAATCGCCTACTATCCATCCGTGCTGCTCTTGCCGATCGTCCTCCTCTTCTTCGGGCGCCGGAATAGGTTCCGGCGCTTCCTCCTCATCGCTCGAGCTCGACCAATAATATAACTGAAGAGCAGCGGTACGTTTTCGCCGTCCGATCGCGACTCCGACACCTTCCTCGACCTTGTTCCACGACTTTGTAGTCTTCAATTCTTCATCGTCGGAATCGCGTTTGCCGCTAAATGATTTGCGCTCTTTCAAATCCTTACCCGTGGACGTCTTCTTCGATTTTTCGGCTGATTCTTTGCTCTTTTTACTTGCTGAAGTCTTTCCGTTCTCGGATTTGGAAACTTTCTTTGGCTTGGATGGCAATTTTGAGAGTTTCCTTCGTTTCTCCGAAATTGGCGAGAGACCGTTTTCCACGGTTCTCTCCGTGGCGGGGAAAGCACATTCCGATTTATTAATTTCTTCTAAACTGTTGAAAAGAGACTGACCGATTATCTCTTCAGTATTCTCGTCACCGCTTTTTCTTTGCTTCTCTTTCATCTGGTGTCTCTTCTCTTGATTTAGCTTTAACACGACGTTAGTTTCCGTCGCGTCGTTGTTCAATGCGCTATCGTTTGTGTTTTGCGCGAGAACCTCTTTTCTCTTACCAACCTCTCTTAGAATTTCTTCTTCAATCGCTTTTTGCTCTTTCGCGATCATTTGCTCGTGCTTCTTCTCGAGATATCTCTCCTTCCTCTTTTCCTTCGATTCTCTCTTTTTGCGTGACTTATCGTGATCCCCTTTTCTATTATCTCGCACGTATGTTTCCTCATCCGAGCTGCTTATTTCTGCCAGCAATCCTTGCTTGCCTATCGCGCACTTTCTTTGTCTCCTAGTCGGTTGTAAGTCCATGAGTATTCTCTCTTGTTCTTCCCGCAATTTGTCCAACTGTTGTTGTTTCCTCTTCTTTGACTCTTGCACTTTTCTACTAAGAAACACATGTAGAGGAAGATTGTCAGACTGTTTCTGTGGTTTCTCGTTGCTCGAGAGTTTCTCGGGTAACGTTGGAACATCGTCGTCCGGTTCTTCCTTGTCATTTTGTATTTCCGGGAGACTCAGCTGTTTGTTTTCCGTTTCTTCATTAATGATTCCATCATTCGAAGTTTCGTCCACTCTTTCCGCAGTTTCGTTAATAATGTTATCCATTTGGACTTCCGCATGCACGTTCTTAGACTCAAGATCATGTCCATCCAAGATATCCAAAGCTTCCTCCAAGGGAATCAATTCGTTCTCCGGCGAATAATCATCTTTTGTGGTTTCAGAAACCGTTTCCGTTTGTAGAGTCACATTTTCGTCCAAGACCTGTGCTTCAACTTCGTTGTTCTTCGGGTCTTCGGTTGTCAACATCGGCTCCTCGTTCTCTTCATCCGTTTCCGCATCGGAAGTGTCTTCTCGATACAAATCGTCCAATTCAAACGTTCTCTCGTATTGATTGTCCATGTCGTCGTCGCTATTTCTCACCTCGTCAATCGTTTTTCTTTCATCTATAACCAACGAATGATCCGACATTTCCGATTCCGATTTCGCGACATCGTGATCTTTTTTCATATCATCTTCCCGCACTTCTCGATTTCGCCAATCATTAGCAACTTGATCTCCGTTGTCGAAGTCGAAATCCTTGATTACGTGCTGATCACGATTCGCGTCATCAATCACGTCAAGCGATTTCTTCGGACTCTTTCTAGACTTCAACGAACGTCGTTCACTCGCGATCTCGTAATCGTTTCGCTCGTACTCGCTCTCGGATGTCGACAATTCCGCGAAGAGATTCTGTTTACCCTTCGAACACGTGCGTTGACTCTTCGAGATACCAACACCGACGCCGACATCTTCCGCTTTCGCAGCTGTTCTGAATTCATCCGAGCTGTCGTTCTCATACCACGCATTTCTCGCTCGTTTTTTGGAACTTTTACCTCGTTTCTTAAGTTTGGATTGCTTGACGTTCTGCTCCGTGGACCGTTTCAAGCGTTGCTGTTTCCTCTCGACGAACTCGTCCATCGGACCGGTGATCGAACCGTTAGTCTGCTGTTGTTGTTGTTCTTCGCTCTGGAATGACTTTAAAGCGCCCTTTGTCTTTGGCGCAAATTTCTCTATCTCATAGAACTTATGATCTATTGCAGCGTTCGATTTATTAACGTCCACAATATAATTCGTCTTGTCGTTCTCCAAGGAAGTGTCAAAGTTTTCGTCATTTTTTGTTTTCCAAGTAGACTCGTAATTTTTCTCAACTTGACATCTGTATGACATCACACTCCCCAGAGTCGGTGCCATCTGACTCTCCTCTTCGTCGAATTCGTACACGTCTTTTATCTTTTCTGATTCTCCTTTTCGATCGAAAGACCCGCGACGCTTTTTCTTTTCCATCAAACCTCCAAAGCATTCGTTTCTACGAATCAGAGGAAACTCCTGTTGTTGTTGTTGTTTCTTGCTTTTCTTTGGCTTCCGTTGTTTCTGCGCGTTCGAATTTACAAACGCGGCCTTCGAGCGTTCGTATTCCTTTCTCTCGTTTATTTCTTTCTTACGTTCGAACAGTTCCTTGATAGGATTCCTCGTTTTCTTGGTTGGCGAGTTCTTTACCGTCTCCGACAGCTCTTTCGTTGATCTCTTCGGCGAATCCGTCGTGATGTCTTTCGTCGTCATTGCTGCAGCAACTCCCGCAGTCATCGTCGTCGTAACCGTCTTCACTGATTGATGATTTTTACCGCTGCTCGCAACGTCTTCCGGCGGCGTAGACGTCGGTGCTCGCGCACAAGCCAATTCCGCTAGTAACTTCATCGGAGCAGAGCCACTGCAAAGTGAAATTTGTTAGTAACAACAATTTCGCATGTAGACGTGAATGAGATTGTTCATATATATATATAGAGAGAAACAAGATTCGTTATTAAACCAGTGTGATTACTACGTATAGCTAATTGCATAGAAACTACTGTTGCGTAGATGTTTGCGATCATTGATTAAAAAGCTTTTGCATTTCCACAATGTGTTACCAAATTTAAATTGAACAATGCTGAAAAAAAAATAAAAAATAACTCTTTCTCAACGGTATAATATAAAAATTGAAAAAACGGCTTTTGTAAACATTTTTATAAAATAAATTCAATCCTTAACGATAAATATTCAATTTTTTTTTTTTTTTACACAGAATAGAATCAAATACAGCAAACATCTAGAAAAAAGTATAAAAGTCCAATTACTGATCAATTTTAATTTGTTTCTCTTTATAAAAACGGGAATGTTTATTTCGATTCTTTTTGTGACATATCCTGTAGACATATCCTTCTCTTTGACATGTCTCTTTTTAACAAGAGTACTTCCTGAAGAGAATCTAGTCTGCTATTAGTCTTCCGGGCGAATAATAAATGTCCCATATGCGCTAAGTGCTATATTATACGAGTGCTATATAGGAGGATTCTATATTGCAAAGGCGCTACATGTCGGTGTTGTTGCGGGAGAGATCGTTCATCGCGTATAGGGTGGAGTGACGAGAACGGATCAATACGCAACGCGAACGAATGGGCATCGTTCGACGAGAGAGACGGGTCTCTCGACCATGCTTAGCAAAACCGAGAACCCCGACACGCTCGAATAATTCCCAGCCCGAATGGAAAAGGACGGAGGGCTAACGAGAACAAGTATTACGTGCGCGCATTTTATGTAACACAAAAGTCCGATGAGAAAAGTTTGATATCAAACTTCCCTCTCCGGAAAACCAATCGCAAAAGTCGAACGAATAGATTACACAGGAATGATTTCCCTTTTCTGAAAAAAATACCTCTGTCTTTTATTTGTATGCAGAGCCAATCATGCGCCGCATTTTTAATTTAGCGTAATCGTAGAATTAAATGAAAACAAAACGTATGGTCGCGCGGACGAGTAAACGAGCAATCAACAGGTGTTGAACCGATGCGAAGCTGAAAAATGTGCGTTGATATACGAGATTTGCTTTGAGTAAAATATAGTCAAATAGGTTTTAATCACACTCTAGACATTTCGCGCTGCACATGCATTCTATTCGATCCGATCACGCGCACTTTCGCGCTTTTATATCAAAAACAGATTATTACAAAAGTAAATTTTTAAAAAACCGTCAGAGTGTATACGATGTATCAAAATAAACAACACAAAGCGTTCTTGTGAGCGTTCACTTACTTATGATCATTTTTGCCATTGCTGTGCAATAAATTCGACAGCGCCTTGTCTAACAGACCATCCAGAGTTGAATTCGTCTTATTCTTGTGCCCTAGCGAAGACTTCTGCTCCCTATTCGATCCAATTGAGGCGGATAATTGTTGCTCGTGAATGTTGCTCGAGGAGTACGAGTTACCAACACCGTCTCGTTTGTTATTTTCGAGATGACGCTGATCATCATCGTTGATCTTCTGTCCAAACGTGCTGGCTATCAGATTCTCGCTTTCTCTCATACGCTGCTGAATCTTGTCCCGTAGCTTGTTGTTATACTCAAAAGCTACATCTAAACTATCCTCGTAACACAAATTGTCAACTCGCGACACCCGATCTGGACTGGCCGATCTGCTCGAACGCTCGCTACCGTGCGTTCGATAACTCCTATCGTGACTGTTCATCTCTTCTGAGCCGAGCAACTGAAATATCCAGGTAGAAGAAGATACGTGTTGTTCACATATCTTTTTTTTAAAAAATTAAATGTAATTATTGGTTCACAATTGTAATTTTAAATGATTTCACTTGCTGTTGTAGAAATTAGTTTTGGTTTTCATGCAAATATTATGTACTTTAATTATTCTACAGTTATTGCTGAACGAATTAAAATTGGTAAAGCAATTATTATCACTAAATATCTGTCTCGTATAAAATACATGTACAAAAAAAAAAAGAAAAAATTTCGAAAATTCAATACTTACCTGGTTTACCGACTCCAGAAGACTACCGAGACTGTTCTGGCTCTCCACGTCTCTCCATCGGTCTCTGTTAACCCTTAATCCTTGCGGTTGATCGTTCTGTCGATGATAAGACTCCGAGTGATCCAACTTGATCTTTTTTGCGCCTCTTAATTCGTTCTCGCTAGTGGCCTTCAGTCTCGAACAACATTCGACGAAGAGTTCTTCGTCACAATTGAGTATCTTGCCTTGCAACGGCTCTGTCGTTGACTCGATCTCTCTCGGCACATCCAACGCATTGTCCTCGATCGCGTCCGTAGGCGCGATCGTCACCATGTCTGATCTGTGGCCTGACGATGGCGACCTGATGACGATCTTCTCGCCGGAGAATTCACTCAGGTTTGGTTTTCTAGAGCTGTCGTCGTGCGTCGGAAGTTTTTCTTCTTCTTCGTCCTCTTCCTCAGAGTTTTCTATCGAGCTGTCGGGAGTATCGCGAGCGTACAACGGCGACATTCTTTGTCGTGCCATATCATTGTCGTTTTCTTCCTCTTCGTCTTCCTCTTCTTCATTGTTGTCATCGTCGGACTGTCGAATTGTCTGAGAATTTCTGTCGAAATCATCCAACTGAGTTCTCAGAAGCGATACTTCATCCGCTAAACTACTGTGCGACATCACAGATTCTTCTTCGTCCTTTTCGATCAATTGCCGATCGTTTACTGCGAGATCTTCCTGGTTGAACTTCAGACTTCTCGCTGAACGTTTCCACTCTTCGCTGACCATTTTGCTCTTTCTGGAACCTGGCAATTGGTGGTCTAAATTTGATAACGCGTTATCCTGAACTATATGCTTTGATACAATCGAATCGCTGTAGACCGAAGAGTTGTAAACACTGTCTTTGGAGACGATCAGATGCTTCGACAGATTTCTTGATTCGCTAACAGATAGCGTTTCATGGTTTTGCGTCCCGTTCTTCGTTTTATTTTCTGATGCTATCAGCGATTCGTTATTATGATCTCTTGCGATTTTGTCGTTCGTTTTTGTCCTGCCGACTCTCCTCGTATTGAGATCCTGCGTTTTGCCGATATCCTTTCTGGATTTTCTGCGTTTGGTCGTCGAAAAATACGCAAGTGTAATGTCGTTCTGTCTGTCGACGGCATCCCAGTAAGCTCTCGCCTCCTCGGCTCTGATCTTGCTTCGTCTCCAATTAGGCTTGAATACTCTAAACTGCGACGGTGACAAACGTTCGATAATATCTCGTTTCTTGCGATGGCTGAGATCTTTGTTCGACTTTCTATAAGCGTCATAACCGACTGGAAAATTCTCCCATTCGTCTGAGATTAAATTTCTCTTAGTTTGCTCCTTATTCCATCCTTCCTCGTGATATCTTTTTGATGATTCTTCATCCTTCTCGCAAGAAAGATCATTTTGAAACTGATTTTCCATTTCTTTATTTTTGTCCGCATTTCCATCTTCGTCCGTAACAATCGACGACTCGAAAGTTCTCAGGATTCTCTTGTCCGCCTTGATCTTACTCTCTTTGTATCTGCTGCGCTTGGCCTGATTGAGCAATTCAGTGTGATCTTCGAGTGTTGAATCTGGATCTTTCTCTCGTTTCTTCCGATTCTTCGATTTTCCATGAACCTCGGCATCCTTCTCGATTTTCTTCTTGTGAACTCGCTCAACGTCCTTCTTCGTGTCCGAGTGACGCTTCTTGTCCTTCTTATGTCCATTTACCGAGATCTTCGATCCGCGCGGGCAAGATTTCACATTCGACGCGCTCCTGGACATGTCCGAATCGTCTTCCGATCGCGATACCCAGTCATTCAGCACCTCCTTCATCTTATCGTTCTTCTCGCCGCCGAACACACGGCCGAACACGCTCTTCACGATCTTGTTTTTATTCGTGCAAGCGGACTCGATTTTATCGTCCTCGTTCTCGCTGTCGCTTGACAGTTCGGCGATCTTCGACATCGAGATTCTTTCTCTTTTTCCTTTAGAACTCTTCGACTTCTTACAATCGGATCCTCGTTCTTTGCTCTGCGAGTTTCTGGATGACTTTTTGTTAGATGATTCAAGTCGAATTGTTTTTTCATCGCAAGCAGTGTCGTCCTCTAAATTCTCTATTGTCTCCCGGTGCTGCGATTCGTGAGAATTTACGGCGGGAAGAGATTTGTTATTCTCAGTAATCGATGATGACGATAAGTTTTCATCTTCGCTGCTTTCTGATTCCTCTGAAAGTTTTGCTTTATTTTGAGTCGATTCAATAATTTCTTTTTCTTGCGAAATCACCGTTTCCTCTTCTGTTATTGATCGTTTCTCTTCAGATATTTCCGAGATGTCCGAAAGCTTTTGAACTTCAGAACTCTCATCTTCGTCGAGTCCGTCTGTTTTGACTCCGACCGATGGCAAATGATTGATGGAGATTGATACTTCTTCAGTAATTTGAATCGGCGAAGATGATACAGGTGAAAGTTGTTTAGCAGTTGAGTCAGATAAAACATCTTCTTTTACTTCGTCGTGATTAGATTCGTTTTGCGATATAAATTCTGCATCATCATCACGTGCATTTAATTTCGACAATATCGATTCGTCAACATCATCCTCGTCTTTTTCCGACGAAACAAGAATCGCATTGTCGCAATCCTTCGCGAGTGTGATATCAACTGTTTTCGCAAACTGCTCTGCCGACTGCATCGATTGATTTTCGGAAGTGTTTTCCAGCTCAGTATTCTGAATCTTTTCGACATTTACTAGATTCTTCTCGGTTTCCGACAAATGCAATTTCAAGATTTCATCGTTAATGGCTGGCGTCATCAGAGGAACAACCGGAACAACTTTTTCGACGATTGTTGTTTCGCAACAACTCGTATCAATCTGATTTGCGGTTTCTTCCGTTGTTTGGCTGTTTGTTTTCAACGATTCGTAGCAATCGCTGTCTGCTTTCACCGAAGAACTGCCTGCAATTTGTGCGAGATTCTTCCTAGGCCTGCCTCTACGTTTAGGAGGCTGAATATTCGCGTCAACATGCAACTGCTTGCCGATGTCGTCGAGATTCTCTTTGGCTTGTGAACTTGGGTTTTGATCCTTAAGATTTGATTCCTCTATGTCGCTCGTAACGACAACACTGTTTTCTTTGACTTCAGATTCCGTCCGAACTGCAGTATCAATTTGATCTTTAAGTCTCGGTCTTCCACGTTTTCTTTTTCTAGTTTCATTGGTCGCTTTCGGCTTTGCGGCTTCCTGAGAGATATTATCTTCATTAACACGCACAGCTTCTGATAAGGCATCTTCGTTCGTTTCCTTCTCCGTTTTGTACTGATTACAACTTTCTGTTTCGTCACTAACGTCCATAGAAATGTCCATAAAATACACGTCAGCTTCGACATCAGACTCTTCGTAATGCTGAATATGTTTACTTCTTCTTGGTCTCAGACTGAACCGACTTGACTCGGTCGAAGTTTGATTTTCTTCCTTTTCCTCGTTGTCCAACGTAGAGAGCTTTCTTGCGCGTCTAGAAGTTCTCGTGGATTCTGTGTGCTGTTCGGTTGTCATATCGATGTCGCAAGCTGATGATGTACAATCCGTCGCGTCATTCAAAAAGTTGACAAGTAATTCTGCCTGATTCTCGGTCTTTTCCTCGACCGTTTCCGAAATTTCTTTCGTCAAACTGGAAGACAACGACGAAATCCGCACGGCGTCATTAGCCGAATTTGTGAACTCGTTCGAGATGTCTTTCGACTTTTCCAGTTCAGGAGAATCTAACAACAGATGTTCATCTGCTAGATTCTTCTTTTTCTTGGTTCGCTTTTTATCGCCGTTCTTGCCTCGTACCGAGTCCTCGTGCTTCTTCTCAATCGGTTTGATTGGGGTCGGCTTCTCTGGCGTTATGTGATCGGTCAGAACGTATTCGTCATGGCTCATGTTCTCGGTGATCTTGCAGATTTCCTCGTCCAACAACTTGTCCTCCAACGTTTCCTGCTTTGCCGCTTCGAGATTCATCACAGAAGTCGTCGATTCAGCACTGGTTGCGTAAGACGCGTAATTTTCGTACGACTCTAAAGATTTCCGGATGATTTCAGAAGGTTTGACATCTTCCGGAACACTCTTCTGCTGGTCGCTCGCTTGATCATTCTCGGCATTAGTGATTTCTTCGTCACTCTTGAACACGGTATCGATGGCGAGTTGAATTTTATCCTTGGATTTTTCCATCTGCAACAGATGCCACTGCGATAGCGTGTGCTTCTTCAAGGAACTCTTACGGGTAAAGCTAGTGGCACATACTTCACAGAAAAACTTGGCCGCTTCTTTTGTCAGTTTCTTCCTCTTCTCCACAATCATAATCTCGCCGGTCTTCTTGTGTACCACCACAAAGTTGTCGGCCGCGCGTTTCTTCAGGGTAACCGAGTCATCAAGAGAATCGGGATCGTTCGACGCCGCGGGCACATTTTCCGACGAGTCTTTGTTCGCGGAATCGTCCACAGAATCATCCGTCACAGGTTTGTTTGTGTCTTTGTTTTGCACATCTGAAGACTTGTCAGCAAGTTCGAATTCCCGTTCGATGTTCTCCAAGACTTTCGTGTTCTCTAACGAAGCTTGAATGTCCATCAGAGCGTCGATATCGTCTACATCCGAGAGATCGAGATGCTCGTCACACAGCGACTCTCTTTTATTCTTCTCTTCATGCATATTGCTCTTCGAAAATTCCGATTCCGCAACAAAAGAATCTGCTCGCGCATCATCGCAAGTCTCTTCCTTTTCCTTTCTCTTCTTCTTCGCAAATCGCTTCTTTCTGAAATAACTAGATTCGCTGGCGCACGAATTCTCCGACAGATCGTCCGTGCTTTCTCCCTGATTTCGTGTGCCGGAATTGACGAGATCTTCATTCGAGAGTTGTATCCTCCTTCGAGATCTTGTAACAGTCGAAGCAAACTCGATTGAACTCGATGAGCTCGACCTCTCAAACTTATTTGTATCTAATTGTTCCTCAATAACGCATTTCTCCGTTTCTTCTTGTTCTTTGGTTTTTTCTATGTTAGATACTTCCTTTTCCGCGCGATCTTCACTTGTTCGTGACTCTTCGACAACATTCCCGCCGTTCCAACGACCTTCTTCCGGCAACGACTTTTTCCTCGAGCCTCGTTTCTTTGTGTTCTGCAACAAATCCTTCACTTCCGGTATTTTAAAGTGTTCCGGGCTAGCAGATAGTTGTTCGTTAGACTCTACAATGCCAGTCTCTTCAAGCTTTGAAATAAGTTCGACAGGCTCGTCTACGGGTAGTTCGAGATGCTCGTCAGCTAATGATTTCTTCTTCGCACTACGTTTCCTCTTAGTTTTTGAAGATATCGAATTGACATGATCTGTATTTTGTGCTTCTTCCTGTTTCTTGCACACTGTTTCTTGCACCGAAGAATAAGATTGTTCCAATAAAGCGCTTGTATCTTCGGTAATGGTCCCAACTTTCATCAATTGCTGATCAGTCAATCCCAAAGTATCTTTTTCCTCAGCAGACAATAATAATGACTTTTCAGACTCATCAGCAGACTTCATTGAAGTTTCAAAAAGATCTGTATTAGTATTTTCCGGAAAAATTGCAGATTGACGCGATTTTCTTCTCGACGTGTACCGAGACGTAGATTCACTCGTGTCAGTTTGATCCATTTTCTTGATTATATCTGCAGAGATCTTTTCGTTCTCCGTGCTGTTCTTCGAAAATAATTTCGAAGAATCGACATTTTCGTCCGACACTTCCTTCGATAGAACATCGGCAACGGTAGCTTCTTGTTCAGACATTAATTTGTCAGCGGATTCTTTAAAATTCGATACTGATTTTGCGTCTTCTGTAATATTATCGGATTTCTCTAATTTTAGTTTATCATCACATTCCGCGAGGTTTTCTTCCAAACTTAACGTCTTCAAGTTACCTTCGACAGTTTTGCTCTCACTGTTGTGTTGAATCTTCTCGAAGTCAACATCTTCGTTTGAAGATTTCGTAATATCTAGATTTTGTTCGGTAATTCCGTTTACAACGTCGGACTCTTCTGATTTAGAGATGAGCGTGTCGTCAAAGTGTGATTTCTTTTGTGTTATATTTTCTTCAGCAACAAGCTCTTCAACAACTTCCGTCGATTTCCGTTTGCTTTTTCTGGGCCAGCTCGCGTCTTCTAGCGATCTTTTGTTGGATTTTCTTCTAGATTTCTTAAGTCTTCCCTTTTTCTCAAGTTTTTCTAAACTTTTATTCTGTGGCGAAGCTTCCGTCGAATTGTTTGCCAGTGGTAATGAAGCCTCTGTTATAACGATTGCTTCTTCATTTGTTGTCACTTTATTCTCGCAGGATTCGATCTGCGATTCGTCAACAGAAGAGTGTATCGCATCCACGTTATCATCGCTCCTTGTTTCAATATTTGAGGCACTGTTTATTTTAACTTCTTTCTCGCTCTGAATCTGCGTTTCAATCTGCACTACCAAATTCTCTTCAATGTTATCTTGAACCTTATCTTGAAGCATTAAATCATTAGAACGTTCGGGAGCGGCACTTTCGACATTAATTTTATCGTCTTCCAACGGGCGAACTTTAAGATTAGTAGTAATCGGCGATTCTTTATCGTGAGATGTGTTTATCGCATTTTTATTATTATCTTTTTCCAAAGCGTGGCTCGGCGTCTCGCCGGCATTTTCGCTCTCCGCATTATCAACTAAAGTAGGTCCAACTTCGTTGAGAATACTGGTCAGTTCTTCAGCCGCGGAATCCAGCAGAGAACCTACTTCGTTCTCCAGCATAGCGTCCTTCTGTTTGGCTATCTTCGATACAATCTTCTCCAGAAAAGAACCCTTGCCCTTTGGTTTTCGTCTAGATAGATCGAGAATAATGTCGTTAGCTGGCGATCGCGCCTTAGCGTTCACACTCTTCTGAGCTACAAAAGCGTCATCTTGTACCTTCTCGGAACTGGAACGAGTGTTCTTTTCATCGTTCGCATGGTGGTCATCAGTCGCGCTTGTTGCTGTAACGATCGCATTCTCTGAGGATTCCTGCTCGCTTCTAGCAAGAACCGGTAACTCATTAAACGCCGAGTCCGCTGCGATTACGTTGCCTTCGCCGCCTCTCGGTTGTTGCGTGCTTCCGTTGCGCGTCACTCTATCCGGATTATCCAGACTAGTCTGCACCGTAAGCACCTGCACGCTCTGCTGCTGCGCCTCTATCGGGATGTTCATGCCTTCCGTCAAAATACCGATTACATTGTTCAGAGATCTCTTTCTCGATGATCTCTCGCGGCGAACACCCCACGTTTTCTTAGGCCGCGTTGCTTTTAATTTGCTCACAGAGATCTCAAGTGAGTTCTCTTTGCCGCTGTCGACGGATAAATTCGTTTCCGACTGCAAATGATTTAAATTTATGTTCGTCATCGCCGAATCCGAACGATTGTCGGTATTACTATCACTATTAGCGTCATCGATTTTGTTTTCGTCAATTTTCTCGATTGCTTCGTCGATTTCTTTCTCAACTTGTTTTTCGTTAAATGTAACATTTTCAATGTTGTTTTGTTCTTCTTTCGCGTGCGCGTTAGTTTCTTCAGCTTCATTACTCGATTTGTTGCGACTGCGACGTTTTCCCGACAAGCTATTGTCTTTTCGGAAGCTATCATTTCGAATTTCTGAGGAAGACTCACTTTTAACATCGACCAACGATCGTCTCGTTTGCTTGTTGTCGATTTTAGTTTCGACATCCGAACTGTCGCTGATCTCCTTTGCTTTCACACTCGCTCGACTATCTCTTTTACCATGATTTTTTTCATTCTGCGACACGTTACTAACAGGATCTTTGTCCTGGATTGTTTCGGTCACTTTATCGTCGTTCTTTTTCTCGATATTCTTCCTAGACGATTTTCTGACTGTCTCAATTTTTTCTTTTTTACTTACACCCTTCGAGCCGTCCTGTTCATCATCGATTTCCCGCGTAATCTTGTCGCTTGTTTGAGGTGTTTTCAATTTTGGTGTCGAGTATCTCAAACTACGTTTCAAGCCGGCGTCGTTAGATGCAAGTTCCAGCGTATTCAGTAAATCCTCTGTGCTGACCGAACCCAGCAACTTCTTCACCTCGAACGGAATGTCTCGTGTCACGGAATCTTTTTCTGTTTTCGTTTTCGAGGTGCTTCGCATTTCCTTCGTCCCTTCTTCTTTCTTTGATTTTAATTCTCTTCTGGTGTTCGTCTCATCCTTGGATGTTCCTTCTTGTTTGTTATTTTCGCTGTTATTGGTATTTTTGACAGGTAAGCTCTTCCTGCTCCTTGTTCTTCCTTGCTTCGGCATTTTATTCTTGAAATCCTCGTTTTCTTTGGACGTATCGATTTCCTTCCGCTTCGTTATATCTCTCGCTTCTTGTTTCGGTTTTCTTCCTCTCGTTGATTTTTGCTCTTTTGTACATTTTTCTGATACAATCTCAACATTACTGTCAGCCTCGATGTTATCTTCTTTCTCTTTTGAGACGCATTTTATAGAACTTCGTGACGCTTTCTGATCCTGAAGAGATATCGACGATGTCGCCGGCGATAAAATAGGCAAATCGTTTGCTGACTTGTCGGCGTATTCTTCATTAGAAGAGACGATCTGCGCGACTGGTTCCAAAGTCGGCATTTTGTCACTGTCCGATGACAACCGAGTGACTCTTCGCGGCGGTTGCACCTCGGTTTTCTTTGACTTTTGCGTCGCCTTGAGTTTTATTTTGATTTCAGTAGAGTCAGCAGGTTTCTGCTTCCCCTCGTCAGTTTTCGCTTCCGACATTTTTGCCGATGAATCCTTGTTTGGATTGCGGGCAAACTTGCCGTCTTGCGAACGGAGTTGAGACTTTGCCTTGATAGAAGCGTTCATAGATGCTACCGGGTCAACAGAACGTTTCATCTTTAACATGCGCTGCGCCGATTTATTCTTATTCTTTATGCCGGGAGTCGGCGGTTTCTTACTGTCGGGACTGACGCCATCTTTATCGATCGCTCTCACAATCGTCTTTGTATTCTTTGGTGTATTCTTTGGAGAGAATGTTTCCTCGTCGTTCGCATCGTCCTTCGTCTCCAACGTAGTCACGCACTTGAGCTTGCCTTTGGATTTCACATTCGCCAGCTTGTCGCTGCTTTTGCTCGGAAACTGTGAAGTAACGATCAATCCCATTTTCGTTTTCACATTTCTCTTCTTGCCGAGTACCCTCGGACGTCCAACGAGTCTTGGCCGAACAATCTTGTTGTCCACATTCGAAATTTTGTTATCGACGGTCCTCAATGAGCTCTCGTTTATCTCTTTGGTGTCTCTCTTACCTTCATCACCGATTTCGGCATTCTTATCACTATTGCCATTCGATTTTTTCTCGACTTCATGACATTTCCTCACGACACTTTCGATCGCCGCAGTGATATTATCGTTTCGACACCGATTACGTTGGATCGACTTGGCGTTCTTCAACAACTTGTTTCTCAGAGCGGCTTTGTTGCGCGAAATTCGTGACGAGTCGTCGCCGATTATATGAGATCTCGTTCTGGTCTGCACCTGTTTCAACAAAGCCCAAATATGCTGCTACAACGAATGATTCCTATTTTTTTTTTAAGATGGTTCATCACAATTTGAATCTACTAAAGACAAGATTTCAAGGAATCGAAGCATCAAAGATCTTAGAAGTTTTATGAAAAAAAAAATCTAACAATAAAATAGCGGCAGCGTGAAAATTATCCTGCTTATGCGATTGTGTACACAATCGTGTGAATGTACATCTACTTTTCGACCAATACACATGTCAACTAATCGATGCCTCCGCTCGTGTGCGACGAGGCGCGCAAGGCAATAAAGTTTCATAATTATTTCGACGAGTCTCGAGGTTTTCCGACCATCTCTCGATTATTTAATATTCTCTCAGTTTTTATCTGACGATATAAACGTTCTCTATTGTTTATGTGTAATTTGTCTTTATAACTTTGCAAACTTGTGTTCAAAGGAACTTCATTAATTTCTGTTAGTCTCATTTTTTATTCACCAATGTACATGTAAATTACGTAACTAGTCAGATTTATTATTTTATTAAATTTTTCTTTTCATCATTGCATGTATTTTAGTGTATTTTTCACTAATAAAGATCTTATTAACGGCAGAAACGTTTGAAGAGACTTGAAGATATATACGTATACACAAGAGAAACTTACATAATGTAACAACCATTTTGCTCGTGTATTTAATCTACTTTTTCTACTTGTGTTTTTAAGTTTCTGTTTAAAGCATGAATAAAAACTTTAGTAATGTTTCTTAATTAAAAAAAAAATAAAACCAAGCGTTATTTATTAATATAATACATAAAAGAAAACTTATGACATGATTAATAAAATTATGTTTAATTTGGCATAAAGTGTTTTAATTTTCAAGACTTAATATCACGGGAATTATGTACGTATATATAGTACTCATTACACAAGTCGGTTATTACACTGTGTGAATGCCCTAGTTAAATTAGCCATAAATATAACTAGTGTCTCTAATACTCTTTATGATTCTAATATTGACTCAAGTTTAATATTACAAGAGTATATTATTGAGACACAGTAGTCATTGTTCCACATGATTAAACACACTTACATTTCGTAGTTTTCCCTGCGTTCGTATCGCACTATCCTGCAAAACTTTCCTCGTAGTCCTTTTAGGTGGTAGATTGGCAAGCATTTTCTGAATACTCTCACCTGAGAAACAAAATTCCCTCTATCGAAGAGCTACAAGGACGACGATTCTAAAATATTTTTTTAAGATACAGATATAAAAAAGTTAAATTTTGTTCAAAAATTCAAAAACTTTATTATTATTTAAATGTTAAAATTTGCACGAGCAAAAAACATATAATATGTATCTTACATTTACTTCAAAGAAATATATATTTTTTGCAATTTTTAAAGATACATACATACGTATATATATATATATATACGTGTGTATATATATATATATATATATATATACACACTAGTTTCATTAAAATTACAGTCTATTGTGATTACATAAAGAAATTTCTTTCTTTCTGGTTTTTTGTGTTTTTTAAAACTTGTTTACTCAGAACACAAGGTAAGAAGTGATACGAGAAGCTGAAGTGACTTCGTAGTATCATATCGTACCAAGTACGAAAGTTCGTCAAGTTCTCTCTAGTGTTGACGCGCGAAAAAACACGAAGTGCAATCTTACGGTCACTTGGTCGAATTCTGGGTCCGGTCGGTGTCGTCTGTTTCTCTTTGGGTCTATCCACGTTCTCTCTGATGCGCGGTTGAGGCGTCTGAGAGTTTTGTATGTTCCTCTTCATGCCGCGCTGACGTCGCCGACGACTGCGACTGCCGAACGGCCGCCACTTGCATTTCTTCTTTCCGCTTCCGGTGAGGCCGAGCAACCAGGCATGATCGCCGCCGCACTCCAACATGTGCCGATGCAGCTCGGCCACACTCAGGCAGTTCTTGGCGCACTTGGTGCACACAGTTTCCGTCGGCACAGCATGTTGCGCCTCGTCGCTAGCCGGGCATCGCCCTGGCAGATACAGGTATTGATAGTGTTCTCGCTGCTCGTCGACCAACTCAAAATGCGAGCATAGAACACGTGGATGCACCAAAGCCTTGTGTTCTTCCATCTCTTTCAGCGTTACCTGCACATTTCCAAAACAACGGCTGTTCAAGTTATGATAAGTTACGGTTCATTTCGATCGATAGAACTACGTGATATTTCTGGTGTAAAGAGATTATTATTACATGTGAGGTCGCGTGAGATCTCCCGCTAAATTTTCCTATGAAATTTTAAGACAGATGGAAAATTCCACGGAAGATTCGCGAAAACTGAACTATTATTTCTTCCACAGTTGAAACTTGGAATAAAGACGTTCTAATTTTATTTAGCGACATGGATTGCATTTGATAAATTTATTCGTTTCGTTTTTAATAGTCCATAAAAGCAAATTATACGAATGAGTCGGCGATTTGGACGACTCGCTCGCAAGCACTTACCATCAATGTATCGCGCGAATGTCAAAGATCAAGTACGCTTGATAAACTATCGAGCATATATACGGATAAACTACTTACGCACCGTACAAATGAAATGCACCGTTTTGCCACGCGACCGCGCCAAAAATGTGCTGTATTCTCGAAATAAGATTATAATTCACAAGTCCTCTTAACAGGTGTTCTTGAATAATTACTTCTTTTTAATTTTGCTGGAGTGTATTTTTGGAATAAAGTTAAAAATATGTTCTTTTTCTTTGTTTGTCAACAAACTTCAGAAATAATTGACATTCTCATTAAGAAAACAAATATCTAATTGTCTTTCAGAAGAAATATTTCCTATTTCTTTCTTAAACTGAATACAAATTTTTTATGTACTCTTTTAGAAGAAAATATTGTAAAAATAAGTTGATAATTTATTTTAGTGATAACACAGTGTTTATAGATTTTGTTTTCGATTAAAAATGCAAAGAGAAAATTACAAAATTAAAATTGTATACTCACGTGTTTGGAAGCGCAAGCGCCACAAATGTAGATTCGTTTTCTCGACCACTCGCCGCTCAGTTCTACGAAAGCACTTTCCCGAGCGATAGTGATCTCGTCGCTTTGTTCACGTTTTCTCAGTCTCATAAAATCGGCGAATTCAGAACTGAATTCTGTACCAATAGTCGCGGATAGCGACAATTCTTCTGTTTCTTTCTTGGTTTCGCTTGGAGGTAGTTCAACAGAATCGCAGCAGACAGTGTCGAGAATTGTGGAAGTCGTGTTCAACTCGCAGCTGCCGTCGGCCTTGTCCTGATTACCCGCACTGACAACGGGTTCAAGTTCCTTATCCCGAAGAGACACGTCCGTGGTCTCACAGGGAACCGACAGCGTCTGACGAAGTCTGGTGAGACGTTCCTTAATCAATTGTTGCTTTTTCCTGAGCGACAGTTGCGTGGAAATGTCAAATTTGCTGAGGTCCTTGATCGAGCTCGTCCACTGTTCCTTGCCGTCGTATTTGCGCGGGAAATTATATTTTTCAAAAGAAACTCTGCGCGGCCGCGAACCGCTGCTGGTCTTACAAGCCTTCTGAGCGTACTCGCTTGAGTTTTCATATTCTTCGCCGGTCGAATAGTCCTTGTTATAGACCGGCGTCGCCGCGGTTAGCGAGATATCAATGGGTAATTGAATTTGATTAACGCTGTGCTCATAGTACGATTGTTGCTGCTGCGACTTCGGTTCTGCCATTGTCGTTGTCGCCGTCGTATTTGTGGCAGCTATCGACGACAACGACGACAACGATGACGACGATGACGACGACGACGACGATGACGACGGCGACGGCGACGGCGACGACGACGACGACGACGACGACGACGACGACGACAACGACGACGATGACGACGATGACAACGACGACGATGACGACGACGACGACAACGACGACGTCGGACTGCTCATCGTCTGTAGCTTGCCGTCTAGATGATGCAATAGATTTTCCCGAATGTTGCAACTCACGTTGCTGTAGAAAGAATTGTCGAACTCAGGACTGGCCGGATTGTCGATGGGATCTCGTGTTGCGATAAGTTTCGTCCGAGTGCTGTCTGACTGTCGACTGTCATTTTGATTTTCTAATTCCTTTTCTTCAGATCTTCTCTCTCTGATTGACGATACTTTCTCACGGAGAGTTGGACCGCAGAATTCTTTACAAGGAGAATTTTCTTTTATTTTGTCCATCTGGAAAAAATAAAAGCGTTTGTCTGATTAAACTGTCACTTAATGTAATAACCTACATTTGACATGGAAAAATTAACCAATATTCGTGAAAGTTTTTGGAAAATTTTATGTGTGAGAATTTTTACTATAATTATATAATTTTTTTTAGTGTAAAAATTATTGATTATTGAAAAAATATTGAATTAAAAGTGAGAGAGTATACATGTATATTTTTTATTTTCAAAATGATAACAGTGCATATAAACTTTGTTCTTATCTACTCACTCCAGTGTTAGTAACCAGGAAAACATTTAGTTTGCAAATAAGTTGCAAATATATACAATAAGCAATGCTAAACGATTACAAAATGTTGAATAAAAATTTGCAAGTAAAATCTGTTTATTTTTATATATTTCAAAGTAATTATATGTACAGAGATAGTAAAAAAAAGAAATACAAAAAAATATCAATGAATCATGCTCCATCGTAGAATTATAAAAAAATTAACGAGTATTTTTGACATTTTTATGTAAAAAAACAAAGCAGAATTAAAGCAAATTAAAGCCAATAAAACACTCGAGAGTAAAATGATATATAAATAGTGTTTCGTAAATAAATAATGCAAGAGAGAGAGAGCAATAGAACAGTAAATCAATAAGAAAAGTAGAAGACTGACAAAACTCCAACAGATTTAAATGGGCTTCAATGCCAAATAAACACGGTGAGCAAGCACAAGCAAAATTCTATGTTCTATTCTGGAACAAAACAGAAGCCAACCACAGCTTATTGATTTTCCATAATATTTACCTGACCAGTTCTTTCGCCATTTCCGCTATGTACTTCCATGTGCATCATCAGATTCTCCCGAGTAGAATATCTCGTCGCGCACTGAACGCACGCGTGATATCGGTCGCCGTGACTGCCGACCATGTGTTGAAACAGAATCTCAAGCGTATCGCACTTATCCGAGCAATACTGGCAGTTCTGAGAAGGTTTCCGCGGATTTCTTTCGGAGCGTCTACCGCCGCATAGCTGATGCAACCTCTCCGTGTGTCGCTGCCGCAAGGATATCGACGAGAACTTCTTGTCGCAGTAAAGACAGAGGTGTCTGATGCTGGACGACGGTTTCGGCTTCTGCGTCAATGAGGGATTCGAAGAAGATCCGGAGGATAGCCGCGAGATCACAGACTCTCCGCCCGTTTGACAGTTCTGAAGCACAGAGGCCACTTTGTCCAAAGGCAGACTGCAGTGCAGGCTTGTCATAGACAATTCCCGACTGGTGACGCTTGAGTCTTTGGTCTCCTCTGCTCTCGGCGATTCCGTCTTCTCGGTAACCTCTGCTCTCTCACATTCTTCGATCTTCTGATTCTCCTGATCGTCGATTGTTCGATATACGTTATCTAACAGATCGTCGACCAATCTTCCGCAGATCGTTCCTACGTCTGGGCCTTCCGAGGTCTGAGATTCATCACGTTGACCTTCTCTTCCTCTGCCGTCGTCGACGTTTGCTCTCTCTTCGACCTGGTGCTCGCTCAATCTATCCATTATGATCGTGCCCAGAGTACGAATCTCCTTCTTTTCCCTCGAAGCGTCTTGATTACCTTCGGCAATTTCTTTCTTCTCGACTTCTGAATGTTCCTTTTCCGCTTTCGAGGACGGTTTCTTTGCATTCAAACTAATTTCGTCTCTCGAGTTCTCGATTCTCTCTTCCATCATCATTTCTCGTGTATCCAAATAGTTCGCAGTCTCCGGGAGTTCGATGTTTCTAATATGTTCCGACGACGAATCCTCCAATGGCGGCACAACAGCTGCCTCGATGTCGCCTTCGTTCGAAGGTTCAGACTTGATCGCCATACTTGTTGGATCCTCCTCCTCTTCCTCCTCCTCTTCATCATCATCATCAGCTCCTTTTCTCCGTCTTTCTAATTCCGTCGTCTTCTCCGCGCTCTTACTCTTGTCTTCCTCTTCGTCTTCCTTAATCACGCCGACATCGTTCAACACGCCGACAACGGTCATCACGATATGCTCTAGATTTTCCAAATTTCGCTCGACGCTATTCCGATCGTCCTCCTCTTTCCTCGGTGAGTTTCCTCTCACGGCGGCACCGTCCGGCGGCACTTTCCTGCGCAAATTGTTGATTACATTGCTCAATCGCGATCGCTTGTCTTGTGCGGTCTGTGCCGAAAATCTGTAGGCGTGACCAAATCGCTCTTGCAACTGCTGTTGCTGCTGTTGCTGCGACTGACGATCGGCTACGGTGCTATCTGCCGCGTTGACCGCGTGGCTGACGCCCAAATCTTCCAGACTCTGCGTCGACGCCACCATTCTGTCGGATGACGACGACGCCGAGCCGGACGACGCCAACGAGATGCCGGTCAGCAGCTTTGTTGCTGTGCGATAACCTTCGATCGTGTCGTCGTTCGGTGTCTCGCTACCAGCCGCATCCGCCGAAGCGGCCTCTGAAAGAGAGTTTCGTAATCGTCGATGCTAAGAACTGTACTTTTTATACGGAAAAGCATCGCGAAGCGTCGAAAAGAGTATATCTATATCTATATATATGAAGTTCTTCGATTGAAGAAAACACCGACAAATGAGAAACTCGTTTCAATGAATAAGTTTTCTCAGTCTTTTTTTTTGAGAGAGAAAGAGAGATCGCTTATTTATTTTCGATTGCAAAGATAACTTTTAAAAAGAAACGGCGTGAAGAAAAAGAAAGAGAGAGAGAGAGAGGCGATAAATCGCTATCATTTAGAAACAAACCAAGTACGATTAATGTTTATTTATTTAGAGTTCGTCGCGTGGTAAAGTTTCACATATAATTGAACCACAACGCTACTTAATTTAAATCTCAATTTAAACTGATTCTACAGTCCGATTGTTTCAATGATTAGCCAAATTGAAATCAACTTTGTTTCTTTTCTTAATTTGTAATCGATATCTTAATTGTCTTTCCAAATTGTGTTTCGATATCTTAATTCTATGTACCTTCTGTGATTTTGAAAAGTAAATAAATACATTAAACAATGTTTGTTTGTGCTAATATTTATTTGCAGTAGTCTCCGTAATTCTATACAAAAATTGCTTAAGAATATTTGATAAAGTTATACAGAGAGCAAAGCGCAAGAATGATTTCGCAATGTGTGTGAGATTTATGTTTAAAGCTTCATATCTAAGATGAACTTTTATCCTATTTCCTCACGCTGAATCCTCCAATTATTCCTTCCGCTGAAGAAAAGTATATTTTTTAGTTAGGAAAAGATTTGAGAAGATATAAGAAAATATACAAACATACAAACGCAATCTATTTCAGCGTGAGAAAATCAGAAAGAGAGATAAAGAACTCTTTTCTCCGTTCTGTCTCTGCCGACACTTTTTTATCCGGAAGTCGGGGAGAGAGAGAGAGAGAGAGAAGGGAGGCTGTGAGAATCGATAACCGTCCCTCCGCCACGTCGAAAGGGCTGTGTACAAGCCAACGCGTATATGTCGAAAGGGAAAGAACGAGAGAGACGGACACGCGCGTTTGCACGCGGACATATACCACCCGAGCCCTTGACAACAGCCCCGAGGTGGTAAAAACCGGCCAGCACCATAATACCCGACGACAACCCCTTTGACCGTCCGGTTCATTTTGCGAATGCTGCGATAATTGATAGTTTATTCAACGTGAGAGAGTTATTAGCAATATCAAATATCGCTCATCCCTACACGCGATATCGATCACTTCTGCATATCCGTTCCTTCCCAAATTTTCCGCTCCGTGTTTTTTGTACGTTTTAGAGTGACATACATACATATACAATGTATACATATATATACAGGTCCGAAAAGATTTCGCCATTGTTAGAATTCTGGAAGAATCAATTCTCTCCGCTTTGTTATAAGATTCCAGAAAAAATTCTCGAAATATTCGAAAAAACTTACTCGACGATGTGTAACACGTCAAAGTCGCTTTGAACAAAAAAAACACATTTTCTTAATCAACATTATTACCTTTCCCGTTATCAAGCGTAAATAATGAGATTAACCTGCAGCAATTTTTCATTTTACCATATTTTTAATCTCAAGTGAGTAATTTTTGCTGCGGCTTCGTGTATTAAAGAGTATATTGCGATTACATGTATAATATATATATATATATACACACACATATATATACGTTTCTCTGTAAGAACGCGATAATATATTCATTTACTGAATATATCATAAAATATACTGATGAAAAATGTCTAAATTTTATTCACAATTCTTACAAACTTCTCGCAATAACATTAAATCTATAATAAAATAGAAACCTAAAACATTTGTAATTGTTATGAAAAAATTAGAGATCCATTCACGAGATACATTCTCATTTTTCCCGGTGTATAAAAATTTATTTTTTCGTAGAACACTTTTCTTGAAAATTACATCAACATAAATTTGGCGAAAGATGGAAATTACACCTAAATATAATTTCCGAGAAAATTTTCTTCTTCCGGGAGTAATACCGGGAATAATTTCCAAAAATAATCTCCCGAGAGAATTTTCTGCAAAACGTCGCTTTACTCGCATCGAGAAAACGCTCCGTCTGGAATTTCGAGCGAAATATTTTTCCTCTTAAAAAAGCGCGCTC